GGGTGTGCAATGGATAACAGTAGTAGAAAGGCAAGAGTTCACACTCTCTGGGGAAAACAACACACACTAGACTTTAGAAATAAATAAAAGTCAGCTGGGCCAACATAAAGATAGAAGGACTTCCCAGGGGAAGGCACCGAATAAGCAAAATCCTAGAGATATGAAAATAACAAGGCACACTGTCATCATTTCAACTATCAGTTCCTTTTTAAAAATTAAAATTAGCATAAGTGTTATCTTTAATTTTTTTTTTTTTTTTTACATTGCTGGTTGCAGTGGCTCACGCCTGTAATCCCAGTGCTTTGGGAGGCCAAGACAGACGGATCACTGGAGCTCAGGAGTTCAAGACAAGCTTGGGCAACATGGTAAGACCCCATCTCTACCCTGTGCCTCTGTTTCCTTATGTGTATTATAAGGATCAAAATAATACATATCTACCTCAAATAATAACTGTGATGATTAAATAAGTTAATAAGTCATCCCTCAGTTTCCATGGGGTCTTGGTTTCAGGATACCTCCTCATACCAAAGTCCAATGATATTCAAGTCCTTTAGATAAAACAGTATCATATTTGCATATAACCTACTCACATCCTCCCATATACTTTAAATCATCTTTAGGTAACTCATAATACCTAATACTATGTAAATGCTATGTAAATAGTCATAAACATTTGCATTTTTATTGTTATTTTAAAAATTATTATTTTTAATCCACAGATGCAGAATCCAGGGATATGGAGGGCCAGTTGTATTTGTAAAGCACTTAGAATAGTTCGTGACATGTGGTAAGTCCTTGAAATGTGGGCTTATATTACCATAAAGTATTTAACTAGGTTTCAATTAATGATATTTATGCTGTTGCCAATTCTTTGCATGCTTTGGCTCCTAAAGAAACTTTCCAGGCAAGTTTTGAATTGCCATTAGCTTCTAATACATTTGGGCTCCTTTTTCTTACTAGCTTACCAGCACCTAATATTTGTTTGTGAATACTTAATAAATATGTACTAATACTGTTAACTCGCCTTAGAAGCAGCACAAAGAGTGGTAGTTAAGTCCAGCAGAACAGCTTCCAGGTCAGACCCTGGAAGGAAATCCATTGCAGGTTTTCTTTCTGCAGAGAGGTCATACCAGGAAGGCATATGCTGAGCAGAGACTGAAAAAGAAAGCAGGAAGATCAGGATAGGAGATGTCAGACAGCAAGTCTAACTGGAGGCCAGGATAGCAAGGAGATGTCAGATAGCAAGTCTAACTCAGGCTTCTTCCGGAAAGAAGCCAGAGTATGAGTGTGGGCGAGAAATATAGGACCAACGGCAAATCTGAGAAAGGATAACTCAAAAGGATTCTTTGCACATTAAAAATTTCAGAAAGTGTGATGGTATACCTTCTTGGAGGAGATGCTTCACCAGATAGAAAGAAAGAAAGAAAGAAAGAAAGAAAGAAAGAAAGAAAGAAAGAAAGAAAGAAAGATGATAGATAGATAGACAGAAGATAGATCTTGAGAAAAGAAAAATGGCTTAAAGCAGTTTGAGCTATATGAGGTATGCAAAATTTCTCAGGCCCAGAGAGGGGAGTATGAGGCTCCAGTTTTGCTCTGTCTCCTTGAACTCATGCCTGGGAGCAATTGTTTAAAGGCATGTTGTTCCTGACTAACTGTATCATCTACTATCTCCATGTTCTTGGAATTTGACATACAGAACAGTGCATAGCCAATCAACAGTTTATGTTTTTTTCATCGAAATTCTTGGAAAACAACTCAGGAGTTTCCTCTTCTTTTCCTTCAAAAACCTACTGGTACCTGCTGCTAAGCAGAGCCCATACTCAAGGGTAACTTGAAACTATGCTCTTGGTTTGCAGTCCTCAAACTTGGCCCAAATAAATTCTCTACTTATATCAAGTGGGTCTCAGTTGTTTTTTCTTTTAGGTTCACATTCTCATCAACCTGTAGGTACAAATGAGGTTATGTTAATATTAATTCCAAAACTGTAAGTTTCTTTGCTCCTCTTACGCACATGGGAACTCAGTCTTCTCCTCCCAAAGTCTCCTTGGGTCATTTTTAGGGACCGGAGGAAATCTCACATGATCAGGGACAAATGTGCTCACTGTGGCCTGCTCTATCTTCCTTATCAAGATGCCTCACCTACCTGAGCATCTTCAGTGGCTGAAGACACCCTAGCAGGTCCTCCCTGCTGCTGCCTCCTCACAATCCACACCCAGGAGAGGTGATTTTTGCTGTGCTCCTTAGCAGAGTATCTGTAGGGTGGAAAGTGGGGTTAGAGGGGAAAACAGCCCTTATCTGCCTAGAGTGTTTTATGATTTAGCTCCTCTTATTTCTCCTCCTAACCCTAGTCTGCTGAGATTCCAAACATGTCACCCCAGGCTGGGTTGGGGAGAGGGAGAGGAACACATATACCAGCCACCTGCTCCTTGTCCGTGCTACTTTATCTCTCTGGTCACTCAAGAACAAATATTAACCAGTCATTGTAGTAGATGGAATGGAAAACTCACCCCAATTGTCGGCCCCTCTCTGTCTCTATGTCCTTTGCAATGGAACACTGAGCTCCTTCTATTAAGAAGTGGAATCTCTCCTCGTCCCTTTAATCTGGGCTGGCCCATGACTGGCTTTGATCAGCTGGATGTGGCTGAAGTGATGGCATGTCCACTTTAAACTGTGCCTCCAGAGGCCTTGAGTTCTTCCACTCACTCTTGTGGCTCCTCTGCCATATCCTGAGAAGAGCCTGGTCAGACTATCAGCTAATGAAATATGGCCACCAGCCAGCCCTTTGCCCAGAAAAACCCAGATGAACTATACTGCCAAGCCCTGTGTAGATGACCTGCTTTTACATGAGTGAGCTGAGGGGACACCCGAAGATCCACCCAGCCAAACCACAGATTTGTGAACTAAGTAAAGTCTGTGTCACTTGAAGCCACTGGGTTTTCTGTTTGTTACACAGCATTATTGTGACAAAGGATAAATGTTATCGACCTATTCCTGACCTCCAAAATCAAGGCTTTTTGAACATTCAAACACTCCTCCAAAGAAGCTCAACAAATAGACAAATTCTAAGTCTGGATTCAGCCAGGACCCCATACTGCCCTTACAACAGCCTGAAAGCAGACTGGAGCAAGATGGAAGGATTTTCATTCAGCAGATGACCAGGAGGTCTGAGGGAAAGCTAGTCAGCCCGTTGGGAATAGCACACATGAGTTTGGCGATAGGAGTGCCCTACCAATCTGTAATTCATATGCAAAGATCACAGTAGGCATTGTGTGACAGCATTTCTTGTGGAAACTGGCAAGGGAGACCGATTTCCCCAGTTTGGACTCAGCTGAGACTGAAACAAAACGAAGAGCAGCAGGGAAAATGGGGCAGGAATCACGGAGAAGACATTGAGCTGGCCTAGGTCCTGGAACTGTGGCTCCAGACAAGCTTACCTAAAATCTCTGAGGGCAGAGAAGCCCTATCAAGTGAGAATTCGAGTCAATATTATTAACCTCAGTCTATATCCTGTCTCAAATCGAGATGGGGGTCTGGCTATGTTCGCCAGGCTGGTCTCGAACTCCTGGTCTGAAGCAATCTTCCCATCTTGGCCTCCCAAAGTGCTAGGATTACAGGTGTGTGTCACAGTGCCTGACCTACATTTATTTTATTATACAGGGTTACCTTGTCTAATTCCAGCCCTGTGATAGCTACCCAAGATTGTTGTAATCTCCAGTGATCAAGTTTCTTTGGATAAGAAAGAGGGAAGACATTAAGTGTGTGGAAAAGACCCCTCCTCTCTACTCTGGTTACAAAGCAAGTTTCATTTCCTTAATTGTCCCCTGACTCTTCTGTGTTGTTTCTAGAAGCTTTAATTTTTATTTTTTAGAGTCTCACTCTGTTGCCCAGCTTTGAACTCCTAGACCCAAGCAATCCTTCTGCCTCAACCTCTTGAGTAGCTGGGGCTACAGGCACACACCACCATACCCTAATTAAAAAAAAAAAATGTAGAGATAGGAGTCTCTTGCTGTATTGCTGAGGCTGCTCTCAAACTCCTAGCCTCTGTGACCCTGTAAGCTCAGCCTCCCAAAGTACTTCGATTACAGGCATGAGCCACTGCAACCGGCTTATTTCTAGGGATTTTGAATGGACCCTACACACCATGGGCAGATGAATGGAGGCTGAGCCAGCCAAGCAGGTAAAAACTGGATGCTTTTAAACTCTGAGGTGTTCTACTGGACTCTGTCGATGGAGCTCCCTTCGAACTGGGGACTGCCCTTGACTGCCAGTCAAACAGAACTGCCCACAGCCTAGCAAATGGCTGCCATATAGGCCATTCACTGGAAATCTAATGATTGGCAACTGGGACCACAGGTGCAGAGAAAGAAATGGAATTCAAGCTGTGGTTGAGTTCTTGTTCTTTCCATCCTTTTGAGTGATGAAAAATGAGGGCAAATCTAGGCAATGTTTTCTTTACATTGAAAGCTTAGCCTCTTGATCCTCTTGGGGCTGAAGGGAGTGGGGAGTTAGGCTCCGAGAAGTGGTTAATGTACATTTTGCTCCTGATGCTGTTTCTGAACATTTTATAGTTACAGTTCTATAGGTGTAGGTCCCTAGTTGTTTGGTATCTGGCCCTGTGGGATTTAGGGCATGGGGGAATATGGGCTTGGTATGTGAGAGCCAGATAAAGGAGGTGGTAGGAGCTTTGGGCTCTGGGTTTGTTGGTTTGCATGTTAAAGGCATGCTCACAGGCCAGTTGTTTGCTCTCTCTAGGAATTAGTTAACCCTCAGAGAGGCAGTCTCTCTCCAAGTCCATGAGGTCCTAAAATGTCAAAGCATCATACCATACAGAAAATAAAAAGCTTGATTACTACTGCAAGCTGAGAGGATTTGTGTTCCTGTACTATCAGACCAAGCGCCAGAATTACTGGAGACATGTTGCAGCTTCTGTGCCTTCTCTCAATGTTACGCTGTTCATGACTGAGGATCCTGCCCTCTGAGTGTTTACAGAAGTCTTTCTCACTATCTCGCCCTGGTTCTCTTGACCCAGAGCAGTTCTTTACTTTCTCGGGAAACAAACGGGATGAAAGTCCAGGGCTGGGACTTCCTCCCTGGTGTGTTTGACAAGGACTGACGTACGCTAGGCCCTTTGAATCCCGGAAGTCCAGAACACACCCAACCTTGATTACAGTGTCCAGAATGCTGGAGCGGAGGTAAAAGGACAAAAGCCAGACACATTTCAACATGAGGGACCCACTGACAGATTGCCCGGTGAGTAGCCCAGTGTGGTTTGTGTACCTGCGTGTGAGAGGGAGGGTGGAGGGTAGATTTGTGTATTAATGGATTTTAACTTAATAAATTTGAGACACTCAGAAACCAAACATATTGAGACATTGGCTGTGGTACAAAAGTTTGTGGTTTTTTCTTTGGTTCAGTTTAAAACAGAGCTTTTTCTAGGAAATGACAGGGCAAGTAACTGTCATCTTTCCTTCTCATGTTCTTGGAAAAAGTTTTGAGTGAGTAAAGCATCATATTTGGATCCAGATGGTGGCTGTTTGGAAAACATTTTTAAGACATACACCCTTGGTGCCAACATCGTGTGTGGAGTGGATACAAAAACACACAGAATGTCTGCAGCCAATTTTTGGCTCTGAGAATAAAGTCAGAGAGGAGAGTTTTTGTGCCTTTTCACCCTCATTTTTTTGAGTCAAGGATTGCAAGTCCTGCAGGAGGAAGGAGAGACTCCTCGCTCTGCCTGGTCTGCAGTGGTTCTCAGACTGGTTTAGCAGCATGTTTGTTCCAGTCCTGGGAGCGTTACCAAAAATTAAGTTTGGTCCAAAGTCCAAAGACATTGTGAGGTCACTGACGGCAATAGCAGAGATGTAAGTTAGGAAATAAGAAGCAGCTAAAATAAAGGGGGGATATGTTGACTTTGAAAATAAAGTAATCAAGGAGGGCCAGTGTCCTATCCCAACACATGGGGCTGAAAAGCTAAGATTGGTGACATTGGTGACAACATAAGCAAGGGGTTGCAGTCATGTTTCATGTATTAATAACACAAACTATGGGGCGGCGGGTAAATGGGAGCTGAGATAAAGCCATAAAGAAAAAGATCAGCAGAGGATTATTGACTTCCTTTCTGTTTATTCAATGGATAAGAAAAACACATGCTTGGAAAAGATGGAACTGTAGCTACTATTGCAGAAAATCAGATGAGCTAAATGAGAAGAACTCATAAATGATGAGTAATTTTAATAATGACTACAGAGTAGCCAATTCTGCCTAATTTTACTTTTTATAAATACAAAAAAATTTAGTGCTTATATAGAAACGAATTCCAATAATATGGTTATATATAGATTTTTAAGAGTGAAACTTCCTCCCTTAATTACTTCAATCTCAGTCTTCTCTCCATTGGTAATTATGAATAATTTTTAACAAGTCTTTTTTATGAATAATTTTTAACAAGTCTTTTATCATTTATTTGTCTCTCCTTGAGGTTACTCCCTTACTAAACTGTTAAATCCTCTCCTATCTCAACGCTGCTACCTCAATGTTGTTGTATACGGTGGCAGGGCAGGACAGGGATGGGATAAGTGGCAGCAAAATCTTGGCACTGACAGTAACCAAAGAAGAAAATTAACACTGGGGAAGAGTGCAATGGACAGAAGAGAGGGAAACAGAGAGAAGGTTTAATTACATTTAAAAAGAAAAGCAGAAATAAATACATAAAAAAGAAACTGAAGGCTTAACATCCTTTGTGTAGGCAGCAAACTCAGTCTTTAGCTCTGGAGAAATGTTTTCTTTCAGGAGCCCCCAAGGCAACCCATAACCACAGTTCTGTGTCCGTTTAAAGCTCCACTCCCTGGCATGCTGAATAGTTCTTTGTGCTATACTGGGCCAAGGACTCCCATCCTTGTCTAAAACTCTGAAGGTCATCTCTATTGGCTCATTGCCACCGAAAGTATCCGGGAGTCATGGAGAGGCGGATATCCCTTCAGCCTGGGTTTCCAAACCCTCTAAAGTCAGAGAACATTTATTTATTTGAAATTGTTTCATCTTAATCAAGTGTTCAAGTTGACTTCCTGGTACATTCTTAGTTTGTACTTGGGGAACAATGCTACGTGAAGATGAATCTGCAGTTTGGGAACAAAATAAGACAAGGAAATGGACTGCAAATGAGTGCCTCGTGAAACACTTAGGTAGTTTTATAAAAGAACCTGAAGCTTTAACCACCTGCAAAACATTCCTTTCCATGAGACCCTAGAGTTGCACAGAGCACAATTCATAAAGTCTTAGCGTAGCTGCAGTTCTTAACTGGGCCCACACCAACATACCCATGTACGGAACTCAGTGAGTTACATGAACTTCAGTGAAAAAAAATCTCTATTTGTACTAATTTCTCACTGAAATTTAGAATTTTATTGAATCAAGAATATAGGCAACAAGCCCCAATACTACTAGTAATAGCTGTGTAGTATCCGTGACTTTGTAGCCAATAAAAATCAGGAATTTTATATTGCAGTTGTTGCACATATCTAGAAATATTTACATTCACCCTGACTTCAAAATGTTGGTAATACTTAAGATATATAATTTAGCATGTTAATAAATAAGCAGATAATATCACAATTTTAAAAATACACTCTAAAAATATATAATTCATTTCTTTTGTAACCCTGTGTTACCTAAAAATATTATTGAATCAAATAGGTTTCATGAGACTACTAAAAGGGCTTATGGTACGAAAAAATTGAAAAATCTCTTTGAGATCATGCTCTAATGGGCAAAAAAAAAAAAAAAAAAAAAATGCTAGGAGCTGGGCCCTTCAACCTCAAAGAGCCAGGTCAGTGTTTGAGTTCAAATGATTGCCACCAGGGTGGCATGAAGATTGCTTAAATGCTGTGTAAGACTAATCTTGAGAGTGTCAGAACTTATTTGAAGAAGATATCTTTAAAGTTCTGTTTTTGAAAAGGAAAAGAATTGGCTTTGGGCCTTGAGCCTTCATTGCTTGTAAGCTTCGCTCTTTTTTTTTTTTGAGACTGAGTTTCTCTCTTGTTACCCAGGCTGGAGTGCAATCTTGGCTCACCATAACCACCACCTCCTGGATTCAAGTGATCCTCCCGCCTCAGCCTCCCGAGCAGCCTGTCTAATTTTGTAATTTTTTTTTAGTAGAGATGGGGTTTCTCCATGTTGGTCAGGCTGGTCTCGAACTCCCGACCTCAGGTGATCCACCTGCCTTGGCCTCCCAAAGTGCTGGGATTATAGGTGTGAGCCACTGTGCCCGGCCAAGCTTAGCTCTTAAACCTAAAAATATGTCAAGGGAAATCATCTTTAAATCCATGTGCAAGAAAGGCAAGGAAGTAGGATCCAATTATCTCCAAAGGAAATAATCTGATCTTAAGAAAGTACTGATAGCACCTTCCTATCAAACAATCACATAGAAATCAAGGACAAGTAACAAGCAGTAGCCAAATCTTTGCTTTTTACACACTCATACAGTATCCAGGAAGGGGCCTGTCAAAGCAAGTCTTCTAGGCTCCAAACAGTCAGCCCCTTCCCTCATGTCATTGAAACAGCACCAGGCTGCTTCTCAGGTTGGTAACCTGGTTCAGATACCAACCTGAGCTTCCCATCTTAATGGCTTAGTCTGAACACCAGACGATGACTGTCACTAACTCAGATGGTGACGGTGCCATGGTCCCTAGTTCCTGGGAGGTTCTGTCTCACTGTAATGATAGAGAAGGAGGCTGAGTCTGGCATGGGTGTCATGTGGCCCACAGCATCCCGAGTTTGCATCAAAGAGATGTGTAACATGCCATTCCACATTTCTTGGGCCTCTGTTTCCTGGTCTGTAAAGTAAAAGGAATAGACCATGCTCTTTGATGTTCCATATCCCATAATCTATGACAGTCTGCCATAGGGATTCTAAATACGACACAGATGGTGAGCAAATGCATGGAATCCCTTCATAGAGTGGCCGTGCTGTGAACCATCACCCCCAGTGAATCAGAGCTCACAGCAAATCAGTAGCACAGTGCCTGGCATAGCAAAGGCATCCAGTAAAGTTCATTGTGTTAAATTTAAGTGGAATATCTTGGTTTCTTTAATACTGTGAGGATCATCACTATTCAAAAAAAATCTTCCATGCTAGCATCAATAAAAATCATTTTTTCTATAATTTTTTTTTCTAGAACTAGATTTAACACTCTTAATCACTCAAGCAGAAAGAGCAGGTAGGCCAAGCTTGATACAGGCACTTTATAATCTCTACAAGTCATTCGTCTAACCATTTCATATGCCGATTGGCTGGATTACTAAATATTTTTTGTAATGGCTATATGTGTCAACAGAATTTGCTTACAAGTGCTGGGAAGAAACATTTCCTTAATGGCTGAATGGGAAATGTCTGTGTAGACCAGGTGCCTATTTGTGAAGGGTTAAATTATTTTTTTAGGAGCTCAGGAAGATCCCCAATATTCCACTACCAGACTGAAATCCCTTTATCAGGGAAGAAAAACCTCATAACTTTTTTTTCCTTAATAATTAATGATCCCCAGGAGAAGCAGCATATTAATATAAATTCATATGGAGTTGTAAAATCAATAGTAGATTGTTCTCCGGAATGAATATTTGGTAGGAGGTTAGGATAGTTAAAAGCTTAATGGGTGGGAAAAGAACACCAAAATTGCCTTCCACCTGACTGCAACCACAGCAAGCCCTTCTTCTTGTGCTGGTTGATGACATTAAGAAGCCAACTGTATTGCACATAATACTTAAGGGTTACTATAACTTGGAGTAAACTTAGTGTGATGATACAAATTACCCATTTTTAAATATATTAGTTTCTGATGGATTCTTTAATTGATTTTCATACCTAACATTTCTCATCGCAGCTCTGTCTCTAACGAATTAGGTTATCCTTAGTTCTTTGGGCCTTAACTGTAAATAAGGAAATTAGACTTCAGTGATTTCCAAACTGTACTCCATGGAACCCCTTCAGAGTCCTCTCTGGTGGGTGGGAGCGTGGTGAGGTAGGAGTGAGACAACCAAAGCTAAAGTCAAGTGATTTTACCCCCTCAAAGCAGGTATGTTCCAAGGTTTCCTGATCATACACACACACACACACACACACACAGAGAGAGAGAGAGAGAGAGAGAGAGAGAGAATGAACTAGAAGGCCTCTGGAGGTCTGCTTTGGCATTTAAGTGGGTCTGCTTTTCACAGTTTTTGTCTCCAAGTCTGAGTACATGATGAAAGGTACAGAATCACTGATTCTAAATAAGGGTTTATGCTGGGATAATGAAAATATTCTTAGCAACTCTTTTATTTATTGATGTCACTTTTATCTCAGTCTGGATCAGGGTTTGTTGGGGAATTCATAGCATATAGGATCAAAGGTAAAGATGCTGCTGCCGTCAGAAGCACATCTCTCTCTTATCTGATCGCTAAATTAACAACATCAAGTACTGAAGACTTTCTCAACTTGCGTGTGCCTGGGCATACTGGAGTTTGAGGTTTGAGTGTGGGTTACAGGTATGCCTGAGACACAAGTCCTTTGCATCCTTGAATTGGCAGAGTGGCTGGGAGCGAGGTAGGAGGCAAAGCCATGGGCCAGTTCCCTCTTCCTGGAACGACTTTGTCTATCTACCACACTCTTCTAGTACAAATATGTTCTATGTGTACCATTTTGGGGAAAAAGTTAAAGTACCAGTCTATGCAGTGACAGAAAATCATCTTCCAAAATCTAGAGCTGGCAGCCCAAGGGTCAATGGAAGCCATAGACCGTGCTTTGTTCCAGCAGCCCCTTACTTTGCGAGGTTGAATATGAATGCCTTTGCCACAGGCTTCACCACTGCCACTGAAGGCAACTGAGTTTTCAATCACTGGCTTATAACCTTTCAGCATGACCTAGCCTCCTAAAACTAGTTCCCTTGAGACAGTATTTAAAAATGTGTCTTAGAGACTTTTGATGACTTGGGAAGTTTAGGAAATGCAGCATCCCTGTAACACAAACACATAGAAAAATTCTCAGCTGTTCTCATTTCTACTTTGGTTACAGGCAGAGTTTTCTCTACATGCCCCATCCCACACTTGATGTCCAAGGTCCCTTATTCTCTCCCATAGGTAACTTCTATGTGCAACCTATCCCCTGGTGATGGTGGACTGGTAAGGACCTTTCCCTTAGGACACTTTATCTCAGATTCCCTTCCTTACACTGCTGCTTCCCTTAATGGGAGGTTCTTTTTCTCCTTCCCACTCTAAATGCCCCTACGTCCCTCGAATCCATTTCTCTGCTTTTTCTCCCATCCTCAGCCCCAGCTTTATAGTGTTTGAGAGCAGAAGAATTTACTCTGCAAGCATGCATCTAGATCTTTCTTGCAGCACCAGGCTGCTCCTCAGGTTGGTGACCTGGTTCAGATGCATCTAGATCTTTCTCTCTTGCACACAGTCCCATGGGTTTTTGTTGAGTCTTTGTTTCTGCTTTGCTGTGGGCTGGAGAGAGAAGTCAATAAGACAATACAGAAAAATCCATAGCTTAATACTGTGAGATATTTCTAAATAAATCAAATAAGAAAGCCACAGGACCTATAAAGGAAAACATAAAATTTTATTTAACATAAAATAAAATTTGAACAAATGCAAAAACTTACTATGTCCTTGGATAGGAAGTCTAAACACCATTAAAAAGTCAATTTTCCCAAATTGAAATATGTATGTAATACAATTTCAATTAGGAACCCAACGGGGATTTAAAAAGAAATGTAATTAGACAAATGTTCTTATGTTAGAATAAATGCCTCAGAATAGCCAAATTAATGAAAAGGAAAAAAAATAGTTGTTTAAAGACAGAGCAGAAGCAAAGTGTTACTATCTCTATGACTTAGGTACTGAGAACATAATGTGTTTTATTATCTTCTGTATCATCATTATGCTATGAACCATAAAAATGTTTCATAATTCAAAGCAAAAAGATCCTGTATGAGTTAGAACTATGTTCAACTTAATATTAGAAAAACCCCAAATGTGTATGTCTTTAAAAAAAACGGTATTGTATTTCTCTCACACATAAAATAAGTCTAAAAGCAGAGAGCTGAAGGCTCACATGGTGTCCTTCACAACCGTCAGGGACCCAGGCTCTTTTTCTCTTTCCACTCTATGATCTTAATGCATTATGTCCTATCTCAATACCACTTTATGGCTTTGGCCTTCATTTTCAAGTCTAGAGGCAGAAAAGAGGGCAAAGAAGCCTTTACTGAAACCTCATACAAAACGTTCCCTCTCATCTCCTTGGATAGCTTTTAGTCACATGATTATACACCTAAGGCTGAGGGAGGCCAAGAAACGACCTTATTCCAGGAGCATGCACCCTGCTAAACATTTATGCATTTTCTTCTCATGACACGGAGGTATGTTTCATGGGATGCTATTAGGTGTTATAGAAGAAAATAAAAGGCTTAGGGAGAAAACTAGTAAAAATGTTTAGGAAACATAGGAGTAAACAAAGAAGCTAAGCACGTGTCTTTACTGCAGGACTTCTCACAATGTCAGAATGTTCCCCTAAACTTTGCCAGTGTACCTGTAAGGGGAAGAAGGAGGCCTTAATAGGATCACACCATTCACATATGGCCAGTTGTTTTTTTGGAAATAAAAATTAGAAAGCTTGATTGCCAAATAGCGATTTTACTTTCATGACTCAGAGGAAGATTATTTCTCCTTCATGAGAAAGGCTACAAATTGGAACCTCACTACAAGTGTGTTTTGTTTACACTACAGAGAGTTTGTGAATTGTTTATTACAATAAAAAAAAAAGTCATGTTTCGAACGCAAATCCTGATTTCAACTTTTTTGGACAAAGTGGGAGATCTGGCTTTCTTGAGCCACATTCCAGGTGGCAGTGATGGGCCAGAATGGTTCGAGTAGCTGCCTCTCCAGCTCACGGTGCCCACCCTGCTCCTCACTCATTCAGGTGCCTGACTGGTGCCAGCAGTCACAGGATTTTGCAAACTCTTCTTTAGAAATTAACAATTTTCTCATGAAAGCTTTGCACCCTCACCACTTTCCTTGTGTCCAAGGCAGTTTCAAGGAAGTGGTTTGTTACTGTTACTATTAATAGATTTCTACCAAATCCTGTCATAGCTTACTGCGTTAAATTCACAGGAATGTTAAACTACTGCATAAAGGTAAAAGGATATGGTAAGACTGTTTCTATATCCTAGGTGTTGGTTTGTTCCATCCCCAAAGGTAGGGAACTGAATCAGCTCATTTCTTTAGGTCCTTCCTCCTCTGTCGCCCTATGCCCTTAGTTTGATACTCTGCAGCACCACGTACCAAATACTTTATTAACTTAATGGCCTTCTGGGCCCTGAGGGGATGTGTGTTTGTGAATGTGCCTGCTACAGTAGAAGGCACTCAGTAAATGTGAATTTCCTTCCTTTTTCCCTTCTCAATATGGTGTCCAGCTGAATGCCGGTGATGTCTGAACACTGGAAGAGGCTGGCTCATTGTATGAGCAAAGTACAGCACAGCCCTCAATCCATACTGAATTTGGGTCCTTTTATGTAAAATCTCATTTTGAAAAATGCAATCTGCTCTTACACCTCCCAGATGGAAACTATGAGAGAGTGTGTCTGGGATGTTCCATCATCTAATTCACTTGCTCTGTGTCAGAAAAAGCTGCAGAATCAATTGACATTTAGTTTCTCTGGGCATTCAAAATCTATTGTCATCAATGTCTACATTTACAGTTTCCAGGAAGACATTGTAGAGTCCTAAATCAAATGACAAAAACTTTTACTGGAAATTCTTGTGTCTGCAGGCTAAATTCAAATATACATGAATTTATAAAGGGTAATTAATACATTTATAAAGGTTTGGTTTAACCAATATGTTCAGCTCATCATTATAACATTTTTCTTACTGGAATTAAATAAGACACAGAGAGGACTAGGATAAAGTTTCCTTACCAGGTTATTTCCTTGCACTTTCATATCGCAGACAGAAAGGTTTGCTCTAATGGCTCATGATTTGTCATGAGCCCCAGAAATATTATTTTGAAGTTTGTGTGGATGGGAGGGGACAAAATAGGTATGCGGCATCCTTCAGAAGATATTTTTGTCCTTCCTGGGAACAATAAGGGTGACAGGATACCATACTCCAAATGCACCCCACTGCCGAATTGTTTGCATTTGGCCGAGGGGAGAAACAGATCAGCTTTATTTCTGAAAAGTTCTCCAGGGTCTTTCATATCCAGGCAGAAGAGACTTCATCTTTATTTTCAGAACCCATCCAAAAGGTGTGCATGCCTGTAGCTGCACGATCATTTATAATGACAGTCATGGTTAGAGTAGCGTACTGAATTTATAGGTGCTCTATCTTTGGAGTTGCTCATAATCTTTCTGTTCACTTTTTGTTATCGTTGTTCTTCTTTTTCAGTATAATAAAGTATACAAGAACCTAAAGGAGTTTTCTCAAAATGGAGAGAATTTCTGCAAACAGGTCACATCTGTTCTTCAGCAAAGGTACAAAACGCACATTTGCAATAAACGTTTCTTCCTCTTTAGTTGCAGCAAGATATGACTGGAGGAGTGATTACAAGCTGTCCTACTTTCCAGAATGGGGTGCTATATTTTGGTACTTGAGAGATTGCTGGAAGAACGATTCTCCCCTATTGCACATTTATCAACTGGATGCCATAAAAATCAAGGAACAATAGGAAGTAATTCTGCTTAGGAAGGCTCAGTCAAGTCTCTTCTGATTCCTCAGACTGGGTTTTTCACCCTGTCCTGGGGCCCACTGTTGGATCTGATACATACTCTCATTATTGTACTTTTCACACTGACAGCAATTATTAGTTTACATTTTTGTCTCCCCTAAAAGGGCAGAGGCTGTCTTACTCATCACTGTATGCTGACCTCTTAGAGCCTGGTCTTTTGATTTCCTTAGTGGCTGTCAGGTGAATGAATGAAAATGAATGAAAATTTTCAGATCGTCTTCTTAATACTAGGTGTGATCATGTATAAAGCTGTTCACTGTGCTGAAATGAGCACATTTAACTCAGTCAAGAAAGTTACGAAAGCCTTGCTTAAAATGAGAAAACCCAAGGATTGAATTTGGTCACAAGGGACCTTTAAGGCCTTTTTCCTACCTCTAGATAGCTCTGTAATAAGAAACTCTAAAGAGACCTTCAGAAAGACTGTTTAAACCATTTCAAATTTAAAATATTGAATGTGTGCTATAAGACCAAAGACACCATGGATTGATTGCATCCTGAACTAGCAGGCTGTAGGAGAGAAAACAATTTCTTTTCTCTCCCTTTCCAAATTCTTAGTTGAGATACTCTTCTGTAAACAAGTAAGATTAACAAAAGAAAAACAAGCAGAAATTTATTAATGCATGTTATACACATCACATGGGAGAGGCCTTGGTTCAAAACTAGTTCTCCCTCAAGGCAGTGGCTTAGGGGTCACGCTTAAATAGTATTTCACCAAAGAGCCAGAAATCCTATTAGGGACAAGACAAAGAAGATAGCATTTTCGGGCTTCTAAAAGGCAGGAAAATGTAGGAAGGTAAATACATGGGAAGGGTGAAGTCTGCTTCTAGATTCTCTGGCACCACTGTTTCTGCGCAGATAAGCAAGTGTTGAACTGTCTTTAGATGGGAAAGGCAGAGAAAGAGGCAGAGTGTGTCCCTTTGTTTTAACCTTTTTTAAACTCAACAATCCCCAGCATTTTTGAGAGCAATATTTCGGTTTCTTTCAAGGTCAAGACAAAAGGAAAACATTAGCTTTATCAGCACCAGATGAATGAGGTCAAAGAAAGATATGAGAGAGCTCAAATAGACTTTTATAAAGAACGAATCCAGATTTGTCAAAAGGAGTCAAAAAGAAAAACATTTTAATCATGAAGTAACTTCTGTTTTAACAGCCAAATTGCTCTGATTCCATGACAGAGAAAGTGGGAGGGCCCATCTAAGAGGGAATTTCTTCTATAAGAAAATATCGTTGTCAGTCCTAAAAGAAATTATTTAAAATAAGACCAGTTAATTGTATGAATCCTACAAATTCAACTCATTACCTAGATTAGAAAGCCACCTTCTGCCTACAGACCAGGAAGAACCTATGCATCTATCAGCCAGGCATATAACCTGGGGTGTAGTCATCTGGGTCTTAATTATTTGGTGTCTGAGAGTTCAGAATCAGTGCTTGGTAGAGAGCTGTGAAGGAGAAGACAGGCAATAGATGATGCCTGCTGATAAACGGACTCAACAGTGAACTGAAAAAATCTGGGGGAGTCACCGCTTGAAGACTGTCCCACTGTTTTTCCTTTTTCAAGATCCCTCCACATCCCTACCTTGTCACTGACATCCACTTTCTTCATATAGTCAGTCTTTATTCCTTACTTTTGTTTTATTGAAGTCTCTTCCTAGGGCTACTATCTGCCCTAGAGCTATTAATGTGTGAAACCCTCCGCTGACTTATTCTAGAGTGACAAACGTGTCCAGTGAGGAAGAAACACTTGAGTAGCTAAAGATATCTCTCTTCAGGCTTTACCTCCTTATGGGGAAGAAATTAGAATCTGAACATCTCAGGAGTCTACTGCTTAGCAAAATTACAAGCACATTCCTGGATAAAAACTGTATAGTATAAGTACAAAGAATGGATCTAATGTTTACGTAGATCAAAAAATTATGCTACATATTAGGTCATTTATGTAATAAATGCTTTTCTGAACATTTTCTAAAGCTAAACTTGTACAATTAAATCATTTCTCCTTAGGCAAGTAGCCATTTGTGTAGTTGCTTTGTATTGATTCCTAGTAAATGTACATTTGCAGTGTCTCATCTTGAGCTTTCACGTTTCCTCCCCTTGCTCAGCTTTTAGATCATGTAGTTAACCTGAAGGATGCTTGCCCACACTAAAAGAGATGGCATTTGGGGAGAACTGTTTTCTAATGGACACAAATGTTCTACTAGTCTATGAATATGTGGCACACTGCATACTTTTAGACAGCATTCCTGTGTATTAGCAGGCAAAGATACAGGCCACTTCAATTCTCAGGGCTGGATCATTTCTCTTCCATGGCAATGATGTGATTCTGAGGTCGCTCTTTCTTCCTAGTGTGTTTGAACTGAATCAACATAATAACCGTATCAACAAGGATGGATAGTCACAGCATGGCTGGAATTACATTTGCCTCGACTGTCCCCATTGAGTGAAGTCAGAAATCCCTCCTCTGGATATGCATTGGATAGAAGGCTGATTCCCACCAGCTATCTAGAAATGAGCCTTGGCCTTATTTTCCTCTTAAAGGTGGGGTTATTACGTGTGAACCAATGGTAATCTTCCCTTGTATTAAAAAAATACCTGGAAAGCCATTACTTTTCAAAAGAAATTATCTTGTTACTTAAGATTATAGACAAGTAATGGGAGTCTTTACTTTACCGTAAGACAAGTAAAATGGTAGTCTTGGAGTATATTCAGTAGGCATTTCCATTGGGGGTTATGAGAGACAATCATGAAGGCAAATCTGTGGCCAGCATAATTAAAGATGTGAAGGTGGACATGGGGTTTTTAACGAGGGGGTATCTGCCACCTAAAATGCATTCAGTAAAGACTTGCAGACTGAATAAATAATAAATAAATAAATAAATAAATAAATAAATAAATGGGCTGGGTACAGTGGCTCATGTCTGTAGTTCTAGGACTTTGGGCGGCTGAGATGGGAGGATCGCTTGAGGCCAGGAGTTCGAGACCAGCCCGGCCAACAGAGCACAACCCGTCTCCATTTTCATAAAAATATTTTTTAAATAAATGAAAGATAGTTAAGGGTTTATAAAAACTATTATTATACCTACATTATTAGAACAAGGGCTTTACTGTCCTTGGAGGTGGGCATTTCCAGACCCCTTACTTAATAGCTCCTGGAATGTGGTTCTGCTTCACAGAGTTCTGCATTAGTACTTGGACACCAGAGGCAGCATCACAAGCTGCCAGGCCAAACAATGTTTCCTTACCAAACTCAGCTGCCCTCTTGCATTTATTCTAATTGGGTGGTGATAGAAAAGTGCAGTTGTTACTAAAACACCCTTTTGCCTGGATATTCTGCAATTCATGATCATGCTTAGCTTCTTTTATCCAATTAGCTACTTCAGTTTCTTTTTTTGCAGTAGCAAACAGGTTTAGCCAGAGCAACATAGCAGCTTCTACGATGCCTAATGCCCAAGTTATCAGGTTCACTTTAACACAATTACAGATCAGATTTAAAGAGACAAAGGTACATTCTTAGAAACTCTGTGAATATTTGGCTTCCTGCATCCTCACAGCTAATGTTTAAACAGGCATTGACTGGAAAATCAATTGTTCCTCTGTAAGGCAGGTTAAGATCAGGTTTTCAAATGCCAAGAACTGCTGCTCTGGACAGCAGTAAAAAGAAAAGAATAAAAGAAGGAGGTAGAGTTGGCCACTTGTTCAATCCATGATTCATTGCAGACACTGTCAATAAAGCAATAAAATTGAAATTAAATACTGGAAAAATCTTTTCTGCTCTACCATTATCCTGGGTGACCTTAACTCCCACAGCTTTAGCTCTCTTGCATATTGGTGATTTACAAATGTGCAGTACTAGGAACATGTCTAGACCATGCTTCAGACCATATATTTCACAGTATATTGAACATTTCCACCTAGAAGTCCCATGGAACTACAAAGTCAGTATGTCCAAAACAGTTTATCCGCTTTTCTCCAAAACTGTTCCTCCTTCTGGGAACCATTGCCCAGCCAGTCAAGCTCAATGCCTGGGACCATCCATATCCATGATTCTGTCTATCTCAACTCATGACCAAGACCATATTTGTCTCTTTGAAACCCCTTTGATATCCACAGCTTTCTTTTATGACCTCTTCCACTGTTCTGGCAAAAGCTCTTAAACTATTCTGTTTTGGAGTGCTGCCTTACAGCCGTGGAGTTTGCATGTTGCACAAAGGCACGTGGCTGAGTGGGATGAATGGAGGCAGAAATCCAATCCACCCTGACCCCTTAAGCCTTTTACCCTGACAGAGCTGGGTGCCTTTAGAGGACACCCCCTTTCTAATTCAAGCAAAGTTACCTGAACTTGTGGGCCAGCTGAGGTCCTGTCCCTGTCTTTAATGTACCTTTCACTCTGTAGCCATGACCCTGCATAAGACCCTTCAAAGACTCCCATGACCTTGAGGATAAAATTTAGCCCTCATCCTTTTATAAAACGACCTTTGAGATCTGAACTCGGCCTTCCTGTTTACCTTGTCTCTCTCCATCTCCCGACGATCCCTGCCTCTCTCCTTTCTGAACCACTTGCACCCCACTCGCACTCCTGCCACCACCACCACCACACATGGATCCCTGCATTTGTGCAGGCTGTATCGCCTGCCTGGTAGATGTTTCATCAACTTCGTTGCCTGGCTCCATAGGATCCAGTCATCCCACAGTGGCAGGCCTTCCTTAACTTCAGTCTCCAGTCTCAAAAAAAATGCTCCTCAATTCTAT